CACTGAAAGTAATTCTGAATATGAACATGATACATCGCACATTAGTAATGTATCATAGGGTGTTATTACCATCAATTACCAACTGTTTATTCACTCCAATTTAAAACTGTACCATTCAGAATTACCATCAACCACCAAGTGTTTACTTTCTCATTCTCATAGTGTATCATTCAGAATTACCATCAAACACCAAGTGTTTACTTTTTCCATTCTATAAGTGTATCATTCAGAATTACCATCAACCATCAAGTGTTTACTTCTTCCATTCTATAAGTGTATCATTCAGAATTATCATCAACCACCAAGTGTTTACTTTTTCCATTCTATAAGTGTATCATTCAGAATTACCATCAACCAAGTATTTACTTTCTCATTCTATAAGTGTATCATTCAGAATTACCATCAACCATCAAGTATTTACTTCTTCCATTCTAAAAGTGTATCATTCAGAATTACCATCAACCACCGGAAGAAGTAAACACTTTGACATGGTTTGATAACATGGTAATGGGTAAGAAATGTGTTTAACATTGTCAGACATGGTATCATGAGTAATGGTTTCTCCTTGTACAAAATTATATAGAATATAGTTTAGAAGAACGGGGACCAATTACAGAGGGAGAATACCAGTCAATTTAGTCATCCAGTAGCATAGAAATTAATAATTTATGATACTCTTGTTCTGTGTAGCTAGCTCGTAACCCAGTAATTGTAAAATTATAGTCTGATCCTTTTCGTTCCAATATATATATATATAGTTATATCTATCTGTACAACTTTCTGTAGTTCTCAGATGAATAACACTCCCATTGAAGAAAATTCTCTAGTATTATTCTGTTAAGTAGCATCAAATACCCACTTTTTGCTGCATGTTTCAAAGCACACACACACACACACCCCTCATGATTTCCAAAGTACCAATCAAGCTACCTTGTGAGAGGTCCACACCTAAAAGAAAAGAAACCACAGGACATTCACTTCTAGTATGTGAGCATGGTTAAAAGTACAAATATGAATGGGGTTTACAAACAGGTGCCCAAGAACACACAATCTAGTGTCTTTTTTTTTAATTCAATGACCCTTCATACCTACTAGGCCTCCTTTAAATCAGGATGGGTTACCTTTTGAGAGTATTACCCCCCCCCTCCCTTCGCTTCATAGGAGGCTATGTCATATAGGTAAAGACATCATCGGGCAATCCTCAACTTCACTTACCAAGTTTGGTCCTGGGAGAAGTTTGTGGACAAACATGCAATATTAATTAATATAGGCTGTAGATTGCTTTTAATTGAAAATTGGTCATCCAGAGTTGTTTCAACTGTAGTCTTAATAAAATATAATACCCTATATATTTTACAAGTTATTATTGTTTTGCCAAACTGTTTAAGAGTGGTTTAAATCTGTTGTTCTTTTCATTAAGTGTATTTTTACCAAGTTTAGTGTCACTTTAAATGAAAGGTGATTAATAATAACTTATAGCAATAATCTTATATTATGTAATATTCAAAGTGTTGATATAAGTTTCTAATGTATGAAGATGAAGGATTTGTTCAGTGTTCTTTCAAATATTTTTGTATCCAAACAGCAATGATTGCCATATTTTTTTTTTGGTTTTCCTGCTTTGTTGCTTAATTTAATTTGAAGTATGTAGTGAAACAATAAAATAGCTATAAATATATTCCTTCTTTCTTTGTGTTTTTTTCTTCTAACCAGTTGTTTTGTGTTCGCAAGACTAATCAGCAACTTATTTCCTGACTGATGTTGTTGTAAATATTGAAAGTGTTGTGCAAACTGTGCATATTTTTTAATTTCTTTCATATATTATAGAAACAGATTTTGTCTCCTTGCACGTTTGTATTTCAACAAAGGAAGCTAAATCACAAATATTTTCAAAGGAAGCATATAAGGGCATTATTTGTAAGTGGTTATGATGTGTTGTGTACTTTTCACATTGCTAGAAGAAGCTTATGCTTGGAATATTCATAAGTAAAAAGTATGATTCTTTAGGTGTGTTTGAATATTCACAAGTGTTGTTTAAAATGTAAGTGATTAGTTCTGTTGAAATTTCACAACTGATGGTATACCTCTGTTGTTTGAAATGTTCGTAAGTAATGGTCAGGTTCTGTTTGAAACGTATGTTTGATGTTATAATTCTGTTTGAAATGTTCACAAAAGTGATGATTTACTTCTGTTGATGGTCTTTTTCTAATTGAAAACTTCATAAGTAATGGTTTAGTTATCTTGTTTTAGATGACATTCCAATTCAGTCGCCAAAGGAAGAAGGCTCTTCCAGTGGAAGCCAACAGTTGACGGCCATCACAGAAGAGCAAGATGATTTTGAAAAGGGATCAGCCAAAGGGAAAGATAAAAACAGTTCAGAGAATGGAAGTGCATCCATTGCCTCCAGACTACCTGTCCTTCAGCTACGTAAAGATAAATCTAAATCTAAAAAAGAAAAAGATGTCGCAAATGATGTTAATAATGACCCAAAAGTAAAAGATCAAGAAGGAAGTCTTAAATCAAATCTTAAAAATTGGACTCCAGATGCTGGGAGCAGCAAAGAAAAAGCCATAGCAAGAAATGGTAGTGAGGCCAGTTTGACCTCGAATAACACTGATCACCTTTCAATCAACACCTTAAATGCAGCCAATCCTATGAATTCTAACAAAGATGATGCCAGTGTTTCGGTAAGCCTGAGCGAAAAGAAGAACCACATTGATAACATTCCAGAAGAAGAGTCCTTGTTTATGATGGACTCAGCCTTAGCTAACAACACGGTATCAGCAGACTCGGAGGGCTGGGACATGGAGTGTTACAATGGAGATGCCACAAAAAGTGAGAGTGGTGAGACCAAACTTCTACTTCAACCAGCCAGCCACAAACGGGAAATTGAAGCTAGTAATAGTGGCAACAGTGTGAATTACCAGACAGTTGTCTGACCTCTTTCTCTCTCTGTATATTTTTTTCTCGGTACAAAGAGAGGGAACTGGACTGGAAAATCTCGTTGTGTGTATCATGTATATAGTTATGAGTATAAGATATATATATATAAATAGTTATATTGATATATATATTTAGAGTACCCCCCATGTAAAAAATGCATTTAGTGCCACTGTATGAAAATGTCATATGCCTGTATATTTCAGAGCCAAAAATTTCTCTTTTCTCAGGACTTTCCTCTAGGCCTTACTCTGTAGATTGTTGTGGTGTCACTACTGGTGGCTGGACTCTTATCACTTAAATGTAAACTTATCCAATGCACCATGAAGTGTTAGTTTTTATATAGAGAATGTGTCTTACTTTCATATTTGTAAGATATTGCATAGTTCTCTCACTATTTGTAAGTTCCACCGTCTTTCACCTGTTGAAATTAGTGCACATGTCCTAGTGGAGAATTGAATATTTGAGTTCAGGAGGATTGTTAATTTCTTTATAGAAGAGGATAAGGTTATTAAAGTTAACATTTGACAGTGATACTAAAAATACACTAATAGATTTAGGAGGATCAAATTATTTGCAGTATGGTTGTCATTCTGATTGTTATTTTGCTACTTGCATGGTGGAGACGGTAAAAATAGTGGGGAGCTCCTGGTAATAATATACTTATAGAATGGAAGAAGTAAACACTTGATGGTTGATGGTAATTCTGAATGATACACTTATAGAATGGAAAAAGTAAACACTTGGTGGTTGATGGTAATTCCGAATGGTACACTTATAGAATGAAACTTTATTCAATATTCAATGGTCAGTAGAAACTTTATTCAAATTTCAGGTTTGGTAATGTAATAATCAGTAGATACTTTATTCAAACATTCAGGTTTGGTAATGTAATGATCAGTAGAAACTTTATTCAATATTCAAACATTCAGGTTTGATAATGTAATGATCAGTTGAAACTTTATTCAAATATTCAGGTTTGGTAATGTAATGGTCAGTAGAAACTTTATTCAAATATTCAGGATTCAGTATTCAAACATTCAGGTTTGGTAATGTAATAAAAGTTTCAACTGAT